ACTCAGCATCTCTTTGATAGTGGTTTTGAGAGTGGCGAGCTCGGACCTGTTTTCGATGAAGTTCCTCTTTCTTCATTCGCACCTATTTCTTCCATTCTTTTGCCAACCGTAAGTGTTTCTTTGCCAGCATTGACTACTTCTGTTCTTTCACCAGTTTTAATTGCTTCTACTTCCATTCCTATGTCTACTTCTTCCGTTCCTGTTCCCACTCCTACGACTCCTGTGGTGTTTACCTTTTCTACTACTTCCCCTTCCGCTGTTCCATCTTCATCTGTCCCACATATAGAAGTAAGTTCCAGCAATAGAAGCATGACTATGAGGAGTGTCACACTCGAAATCCCTGCTAATCAAAGCCTCTTAAGAAAATCTGGGAGAGCTGATACTTGGCTCCAACCTCTTATTGGAGAAATTGAAAAGAATAAGATGCAAAGCCATAGTTGTTACACTTTGATGAATGACATAGTTCATTCAACTTTGAAGGTAATTTTCTTAACCTTGAATGCTTTCCTTCTTTTTCTTTCTAAGTTCTCACTTCTATGCTTTATGACCGTAGGCTAATCTTATTGGGACTGAATTGATGGGGCGAGTTTCTACATTGGAGAAAAAGGAACGAGAGTCTACAAGGGCTCTATCTGAGGCTAGGAAAATAGCTGAGGATGCATTATTTGAGGCAGCAAACTGGAAAAAACAATTTGAGAGTACCCAAGTGACTGTAGAAGAGTTGCGGGAGAGCAAGGCTCACTTGGAGCAACAAAATCATGGCTTAACTTCTGAATTGGGAATTGCGAATGCTTCTTGGGGTCAGCTTAAAGAGGATAAAGAGCTTCTGGAACGTTCTTTATCTAGAGCCAATGATGAGATTAAAGAGCTTAAAGCACTCATGGAGAAGAAAGAAGAATACGCAAAGGAGTTAGCTCAAAACTTAAGTCATGCTCAGAATGATTTAAGAATTTCTTCTGATAGAATCCGTGCCTTGGAAAGTTCTCATGCCTCTCTTAAAGCTTCCCTGGATTCTCATTTAGCCGAGCACCAAATAATGAAAAATGACCTTGCTATGTGGGAAAAGGAATACAAGGCTTTGGAGAAGGAATATAATGACCTTGCTCGGTGTCTTTGAGCAGGACGCCCAAGTCATGGCGGACCGGATCATAGCCTTAGAAGAAGAGAATCAGCGCCTACGGGACCAAGCTGCTTCTTCCAGCCAGGCTCGCGAACTTTGGGTCTTTGACCGAAGCCGGCATCGTGACCGAAGCTGCTTTCGAGGGAGCGCGTCAAAAGGCTCGTGAGGCCCGTACAGACTGTGGTTTTGACGCGGCGACGCCAGAGGCTGACGCTGGTGCAGATGGTGGCGCGGATGGCGCCGAGTAAAAAGATATGCATTTTTTCTTGTTTTTTATTTTCTCTTTCCTTGTATTGATCGGCCTTGGCCGGGTGTAAGCGGGGAAGACCCGTAATTAACTTTGTAGATAAATGATATCTCCTTTCCGTTATTTGCCTTGTGTCTGTTTTGTATTCTCCTCTTTTTCCCCCTTAGATTTTTCTTTGCATGCGCTCGAAGGGGTGATTTGCCTTCGAGTTCGACTCTGGTAGGCATGTTAGTTTTTAATTGTTGACGACTCTTCTTCTTCGACTCGGGGTGAGCGAGTCGGAGCCGTTGCTTGGCGATAGCGGCACTTAGCCTTAGTCCCAGTTCGGGCGCGGTCAAACTGTCGGCCGTTATGACAGAAACGCGGCCTTGTATTTTGACAGGGGCCGGACTTGACGTGTCCACAATCTTGATGGCCTTAGCCATGTAGGCGACTTCGACTGTCGTCGAGTCGTTTACTCACCGTAGTCGAATCTAGGTCGACCGTTGGCGGCGATGGCCTTAGCCATAATACAATTGATGGCCTTAGCCATGTAGGAGACTTCGACTGTCGTCGAGTCGTTTACTCACCGTAGTCGAATCTAGGTCGACCGTTGACGGTGATGGCCTTAGTTTTTCAACTCGGTGCGGGCAAGTCTTAGCCGTTATTTTTCGATAGCGGCGCTTAGCCTTAGTCCCAGTTCGGACGCGGTCGAACTACCGGTCGTGGTGGTAAAAGACGCGGCCTCGTAGTTTGACCGGGGCCGAACTTTACGTGGCCCGACTCTTAATTCGAGTTGGGAGAACTTACTTGAATGGTGAGGGTGCCTATCCTGCGCTTCGATTTGTTGGAGGTCGGGCTTTACTTTCACAGATGAAGGCGTTTGGCCTGAGTCTCGGTTCAACTGTGGTTGAACTTGCTAAAGTTAAGTACGAAGGCGTCCATCCTTGTAGTTCGAGCGAGGTCGAGCTCGTTGGATTTAATAGCGAAGGCACATAGCCTGAGTCTTGGTTCGACCGTGGTTGGACTTATTGGCGAAGGCACGTAGCCGGAGTCCCAGTTCGACTGTTGTTGGACTTTGTTAAATTTGGTGGCGAAGGCACATAGCTTGAGTCCCGGTTCAACCGTAGTTGAACTTTTTTGGTGAAGGTGCATAGCTTGAATCTTGGTTCAACCGTAGTTGAACTTTTTGGCGAAGGCGCATAGCCTGTCTTGGTTCAACCGTAGTTGAACTTTTTGGTGAAGGCGCATAGCCTGAGTCCCGGTTCAACCGTAGTTGAACTTTTTGGCGAAGGCGCGTAGCCTGTCTTGGTTCAACCGTAGTTGAACTTTTTGGTGAAGGCGCATAGCCTGTCTTGGTTCAACCGTAGTTGAACTTTTTTGGTGAAGGCACATAGCCTGAATCTTGGTTCAACCGTAGTCGAACTTTTTTCGTGAAGGCGCATAGCCTGTCTTGGTTCAACCTTAGTCGAACTTTTTTGGTGAAGGCGCATAGCCTGAATCTTGGTTCAACCGTAGTTGAACTTACTGGGGAAGGCGCATAGCCTTGATTTAATGACGAAGGCGCTTAGCCGGAGTCTCGGTTCAACCGTAGTTGAACTTACTGGTGAAGGCGTTGTTGAACTTTTTGGTGAAGGCGCATAGCCTGTCTTGGTTCAACCGTAGTTGAACTTTTTGGCAAAGGCGCATAGCCTGAGTCCCGGTTCAACCGTAGTTGAACTTTTTGGCGAAGGCGCGCAACCTGTCTTGGTTCAACCGTAGTTGAACTTTTTGGTGAAGGCGCATAGCCTGTCTTGGTTCAACCGTAGTCGAACTTTTTTGGTGAAGGCGCATAGCCTGTCTTGGTTCAACCGTAGTCGAACTTTTTTGGTAGCCTGAGTCCCGGTTCAACCGTAGTTGAACTTATTTGGTGAAGGCGCATAGCCTGTCTTGGTTCAACCGTAGTTGAACTTTTTTGGTGAAGGCGCATAGCCTGAATCTTGGTTCAACCGTAGTTGAACTTACTGGGGAAGGCACATAGCCTTGATTTAATGACGAAGGCGCTTAGCCTGAGTCTCGGTTCAACCGTAGTTGAACTTACTGGTGAAGGCGCATAGCCTGAATCTTAGTTCAACTGTTGTTGAACTTTGTCGATCTTGATGGCGAAGACTCATGGCCTGAGTCCCAATTCAACTGCTGTTGAACTTTGTCGATCTTGATGTCGAAGGCTCGTGGCCTGAGTCCCAGTTCAACTGTTGTTGAACTTTGTCGATCTTGATGATGAAGGCTCGTGGCCTGAGTCCCAGTTCAACTGTTGTTGAACTTTGTAGATCTTGATGACGAAGGCTCGTAGCCTGAGTCCCATATTGTGGGTATTGAGTGTTGAAGCTCGGTTTGGATTCGAGACCTTGAGCGGCTCATCCGTTGTCTTCCCAACCAGGGTTTATAGGCTGTCTTGAGGCGATTCTCGATTCGAGATTCCTCTGTGCTGGTTTCCGGCTGGAGCACTTATCAGGGATGTAGGAGATCTCTTACGAAGATTCTCCCCAAAAGAGAGGGGGGATGGCTTCTTCTTCTTGTTTGCACCATCCGATAGATGAGAGACAGAGGAAGTGGATCTCGATTCGAGATCTTCGAGTTCCATCGGCCTGATATGCCGCTTTGGCTTGTTTGTGCGGGGCTGCTTCTTCTTGTTTTCACCATCCGATAGATGAGAGACAGAGGAACTGGATCTCGATTCGAGATCTTCGAGTTCCATCGGCCTGATATGCCGCTTTGGCTTGTTTAAGCTGGGTTGTTCTTCCTTTTCCGGCGTTTCTTTCCTTTTGGTCCATGCAAGAACTACGCGATTTTGCTATGAAATCCCCACAGACGACGCCAAATTGTTTGCTCAAAAGTTATCACATATCTTATGAGTATAAAACAATATAAATAAATCACGGGAAAATCATAGCAAATCATAATAATCCATTGGACCAAGCGAAGAACATGAAAACAAGTACTCGAGGTTAGGGGGAGAAACATTAAAAGCCTTTATTGATAATATTGGTTTGGTCTGCCTCTCCATGAAGAGGTTCAGAGCCTTACAATGGTGTTTTCACTTCCCATAAGATGGGTATGTTTTTCTCTTCTCTCTCTCTCTTGTCAATAGTGGTGAAGAAGCAACCCCCTTTCTAGGGCTTCCACTCTTAGTATTTGTAGATGTGAGCTTCGTGATCTGGCAATAAATGGCCGTGGCCACGCTGAGGTTCCGTCCCCATGGGGGAATGAATGGGCCGTGCCCTCGTAGATTAAATCGGACAAGAGTCGAATCCGCTTATGAATAAGTGGCCATACCACTTATTAATTATGGATTAGCTCAAGACGAGATTAACTCCGTTAATTACCGTGAGGTCAGATTCTGACCCATACATTTTTAATTCAACCAGTATTTACATATCAATCATAATTTGTATTTTCCGCTTACTGTTAATTTTCTATACGAAATAATAAAATTAGCCACACCATATTGTTGAATAAAAAGACCGAAAAAGTCAATGAAATTGATTGTTATAGGAGTAGGCTCTGTAGTGTTCAAATTAATTAGTGCCTGCTTAGTTAGTTGTTCTTGCTTGGTAATGTATATCTGTCAAATTCCCAATCATTTGGATTCTTAATTTGCAAATAATTTATCAAACATAGATCATTGACTTGTTTAATCGTAATTGCTTGACAATGATTAAAATTGATTAATTAATTAATAAGAATGGTTTTAGTTTTAATTATCTTCGTTGCCGTCCATACGAAGGAGACGGTGCTTTGCCCAAAAAGTTTTTAATGCTTTGGCTGGTAGAATATGTGGATTTGGTTATAGTTAGAATTTTGGATCATTATATTGACCATTGTCTTGACAACAGGCAAAACTCAGTGTTATTTTATTTTTATTTCCTACTCTTGATATGGATATAAAAAATTATTATAAAGTTAGTGGATTGAAATATATGTATATATAGAGGGTACAACTTTTATACATGTATATCTTTTAAAATAATTTCATACATATTATCCGAGTCGAGATTAGTAAGTTTACACTCATTCTCATTTTTATTTTTTAAGTTCCGTTCATGTCCACTCTATCCGATTTTTGAGATAAAGTATTGATCAAAATGATGAATAAAAAGAGAAGAAACAATAGCAATAAAACTTAGATATTATTATATAATAATTAAGGTAGGCGCGCAATTCACGTGTACTTGTCTTCTCCAAGTGTAATTTTTATAATTAAAAACTCGAGCTACATGATAATATTTGTTTTGCATAAAATTTTATTTTCTAGTTTAAAGAACGTGGTGGCGAGCAAGAAGCATTATAACAGCAACTTTTTTTCTTTAACTAAATGATATACAAGAACATATTAATCCTATTAATTAAGATTCGCATTGGATCAGCTTATTGAGGATAAAGTGTTTCGCACCAAGCAATTCTCGATTTTTAAGACTTAATTACGAAATCTCTCGATTTTTAAGACTCAAACACAAAATTTCTAGTTAAAGATGGAGGTTTTCAAACTGACCCTCGATATTCTTTGATGTTTATACCAGCAACTTAGTTGATGGCCATAAGATTTTTGTTACATTTATATTATGTTATAAAACATTATTATTATTACTATTTATTGTATTCTAATCCATTGAGGTTTGCTTTTCATCTATATTTTTGTGATGATGTTATTTCTTGCGTTTGTATCGAGACTATCTCCAACCCAACACTAATTTTGACACCAAACACTATTTTAATGTAAGATTTGGTGTTT